CAATGCGAATTGCAGCAATCGGACGCGTCGACTCTCCGAATCGCGAAGCTGGTGCGCGCAGGAGTGTGAATTGTGCAGAAGGCCACCCTAAGGCTCGGAAAGGTCCTATAGGAATCCATTTTGGGTTTCCTCATGTCGGTTTCATCCTTCTAAGTGTTAGAAGTCGATACCGCACACGCGAAACTCCAAAAGAGGACGGAAATAGGTCGAACTAAAAACGAGGTGGGCACCACTTCTAAGGTTCTAAGATAGTCGCAGGAAGACCCCTAAGGCTAGATCCTAACTCCTACGAGAAATACTAGACCTCACGAAAATTGAGGTCAACAAGTATTAGTCTACCTGGATTATAAACCGCTATCTGAAGAGTGATATCATAATCAAAAAGCTCCCGTGCAACATAATCTGTGTAAAACAACACCATATAAAATTTCCATGTACTAAACTAAAGTTCACTTTTATATAATTAAATTGGACATGCCAAAAATAAAAAATATAAAATAAGGACATGCCAAGCCTTTGAGTTATCTTTTGTTTTTTTGGCACATACAATCACTGTTAGGCGTGCTCTATTCTTCTTATCCATTCAACCTACCAAGTATGGCAAGCACAAAATAGAATCTTTAATTGTCACCTTGGTCCTCAGGGAATGGCCATAACTAAGGTAACCAATACAGGCTAACAAAGTCCTCAATAACTATAATTGAAGCATGATGAAACCATACCAAATGTCATAATAAGCTCAACTACTCAAAAAAATAATAAATAAAAAAATAGAAAAAATCCTGCCAAGCTCCAAGCTCAAATGTTTGCAACTACAACACCAACCTCTAGACTAGAAGCAATGAATGCCAAAGCCAGTTGGCTCTCTAAACGCCTAAACACTAAAACTATGGTAGATGGAAATCACAACAAAGTTTATTTCTATCCCCACATCCATTTCTACCATACCCAATAAAATGTAAGAAAACAACAGCATGCATGCATCTTCAAATTGATGAAAAGTGAAATTGAGCGATGTCCTTAATTATGAGCGCTCACCCGTAGAGGAGAGAATGAATAATGAAGAATTATAAAAAAAAAATTCTAAACCCAAATATAAATTTTAAAAAATAGTAATATGGAAATCTAATTATATAATCTAAATCCTTAAGAACATTACGCTTTGAATACAAGAGCGCTTGGGCTGCTTTTCAAAACCAACGGAAATGTATGATAGAGCATTCAAGCAGTAGAAGCAGTAATTTAGTGAGAAAAAAGACACAGATTATAGTATAATACATCAAGGATCACATTAAGTTTGTAATATTTTCAATTGGCATTTGAGATAAAATAAAACATATATTAAAAGTGAAAATCCCTTGACATGATATTTACACTTGAAATTTTTTATTTATGGTTTAGAGAAAATAAGTGGAAATTCAATAAAAATGAAGGAAATATTAGAAGAAAAGGGGTTTAAGATTAGCAAAAATAAGGCATAAAGTATATGATACTAGGTAGGAGAGCCAAATAAATATTATGAATTAAAATTACATGAAGATCAAAGTAATACAAAGTGTGTGATATATTAAATATCTTACACCTATTATATAAATGAATAAGGATCAATATGTGGATACAAGTTCAAGTAAGATGTTTTTTTAGAAGATATGGTGATAGATTGAATTTGTCCATGGAGAACATCAAAATTTATTTATAATAATCACCAGACAACAGATGAAATGAAGAGAAAAAAAGATTGTCTATAAAGAGAACTTTAAGATTTATTATTGAATTACTAAACAGTACAAGATCTATGCCAATAATTTAGGGTGTGATTGGGGCAGCTTGTGCTTATCTGAAAACAGGGATCGCGGGGTTCAACTTGCATTCTGCATTTAGTGTAAAAAATTAACTGTGTTTTCGGATAAGCTGCTCAAGCTGCTCAAACGCAGTTTCCAATGCATTTAGTGTAAAAAATTAACTGTGTTTTCGGATAAGCTGCTCAAACGCAGTTTCCAAAAGGTAAGACGGCGTTTTCAAAACGCCGCCGCAACAGATAAGCTGCCCCAAACACACCCTTAGTGTCTTAGGCTTCTAGTTTAACCCCTTATAAATAGTGAAAGTTGTGGCAAAACGCTATATAGAATGTTACATCTAATGAAAATAAGAAAATCACATGAAAAGTCCTAATGAAAACTAGTCAGAAAATAAATATTGATATTAATAACCATTTGATGACATTAAATGCACATTAGAGATTTTCAAATAAGGTCAATGAGAAGTCGGTGAATGATTTCACCAAGGCCGGCTAAGTTTTAACGAATGACCATACTAATTGGCTTCCCTGACTCGACCTAATCAATCATTAGGACGGAGCCCCTTCAGTGACTCAGGCAAGTAGCCAAACTACTTCGAGGCTTCTTATGGACGACCTTAAGTACCTATATTGGATGGATTGACCAACTTCATTCTAGCGTGTTCAACAAGATGGCGGCCCCGAGCAGGCTAAGTATTTAATCCAAGTGGATTTAGAGATGTATATGAAAAAAAATGCTAGGCAAAGAATCATTGAAAAAAACAACAAATAGAAACTATATAAATTTATCATATTAGCCGTTTCTTCTCAAGGAAAAAGCATTTGAAGCATAAAAGTAACTTGCTTCCAAGCAAGTTGTATAAAATGCATTAGAAGAAAAAAAAAACTATCATTTGACTCTCTTCTTAATGTTGAACATATAATACCGAAGCTCATTTTGACTATCATTGGATATTCAAAAAATTTTTTGGCGGTTTCAGGAGAGTTGTCAAACTTTTTTGGCGGTTTAAGGAGAGTTGTCAAACGTACTCATGCATTCCCATTTAGCAAGAATGATCATAATCTTCAAAAGAATATTATAAAACAAATAGTTCTTGGGCCAATAACCCTTGGAAAATAGGTGTTTGCACCATCAATCTGATATGCGTTATACTCCTTACAAGTTATAGCTTTTCCAAGCTGGAAACGAATGGAATATCTACATAAATCATCTAAAACAATTTTCGATGTACTTACAAAATAAAATTTTATATCTGAACATTCATAAATTTAATCTAGCAGGACTACAACGAGTCGAGAAAATTGAAGTTTAATCAGCTGTTGAATTGTATTATAGCCAGTGAAAATCAGGCTGCTTCTTGTTTGCAATTAGCTGAGCAGGCAAGTAAAGATTAAAATGTGGAAACATTTAGAAAATAATAATTATCAGTTTTGTCGAAGAACAACATCAGATTTATAATATACCTTAAAAGAAAAGCTAGAACCAACATCATCGTTAATATGAACATCCTTGCATTCATTATCGGACAGATGTTCTGCTTCAGCCTGAAAAGTTTCTTGCTCGGGCTCCCTATTCAAGTGAACTGGGAGCAATTTTTGATTTACTTCAAGAAGCACTTCCCCCAAATGAGAAATTTCTTCTTCCAATAATTTCACAGCATCCGTCTTGAGCTGATTATGTATATGACGCAGAGATGATAATCTACTCTCAAACATTTCAATCAATTGTATCTGCAGAGTTGATGAAAATATTTAAAATTGTATTTTAAAAAGTTAATAATGAGGACACTGAACATAATCTTTTATAAAACAAGGAAGAAAAAAAAAAGACAAAACAATACTTGTTTTTTTTCAAGAATTTGAGCACTTCTTTTTAAATGCTGTTCAATTTGGAGCCCCTATGAATTGAAAAATAAACAAGAAAACAAAATTAGTTTGATGAAAAATTAATTAAACCGGTATAAGAATCACCATCAAATACCATCCGCAAGTTGTTTTGCAGCTTTTCCATGGCTTTCTTACGTGACTCAATTTCTTCTTCTAAAGAGGCCTGCATGAAAGTTTCAATAATAAGAAAAACATAATAAAGGCTTAATGTAATAAAGGTAAGACTATGTTGTTTACTACAAACTGTGACAAAATAAAACAATTGCTGCTAAAGAGATCTGCATGGAGGTTTATATGTTGTTTACTTCAAGCTGGGGCATGATGACAACATTGCTACTAAAGAGATCTGGATGGAGGTTTAAATGATGATAAATATTATAAAGTCTTAGGGCTTGTTAAGGGCAGCTTACTTTACTTTCCAAACCATTATCATACACATCCGACTCGCCAATGTTCTCAAACCACTTAAAATCAGTAATGAGAAGTTGCTTTAATTAATCAAATTTGCTAAAATGTGATAGCTATAAGAAAATTCTTGTCCGATCTTAAAAATAAATAAAAAATATTTGTAGTACTCGTAAAAAGTTTTAAAAAAAACTTATTTTCCCCATAATAGTTTTACAATCACCAAAAAATTGCAACCAACCCAAATAGAGGCCCTTAATGTGATGAGGGAAGTCTATCTAGGTTGCTTGAACATGGGACATGGAGAAAGACACTTGTGAAACAAGATGCCTCTCACTCTAAGCGATTTATTTCTCTACTGCTAACCCTCCCAATACTTGTGTCATTTTTCACAGAAATCTTATAGCTAATAACAGAAACAAATCAAAGCCTTGGAAAAGCCAAATGCCAAAAAGGTGAAACCTACAAAACTAATATCTCAAAAAAAAAAAAAAAAAAAAACACAATCATAGTTCAGGACAAAGTGTAGAAGAGCATAAAACAAAAAGGCCCCAAATGCGCTGGATACACTTTGCAAATGTCCTCTGCAATAGCTATTTATAAAAGTGTTCTATGCATGATATAATCTTACAATCACAGCTTCATTAGATACAATAGTGGCAATCATTTCTATTTTTACCGGTAAAGTAATCAATCATATGGCAAAAGATAGCACACTTTCCATCCCCATTGGCAGTAAAGGAAAAAACTGGCCTGGGTATATGCAGATATTTGTATACATATAAATAAAACAAATAAAAAACATAAAAAACCAATTTTATATTTTGCTCAGAAAATCCTTGAGCTCCTACAAAATTTTGGCTTTTTTACGTTGCAATTTTAGCTAAATGGCGTTCACACTAGAGTTGTTACTTGTGTTAAAAGTGAAGGAGGATTGACCAAATATTTTACTACAAGGATCGGCTTTAAGCCCATATCTTTTTGCTTTAGTTATGGATGGTCTTACTGGACATCTACAAGAGGATGTACCTTGGTGTATGCTTTTTGCTGATGATATTCTTCTCGTGGATAAAACGAGAGAAAAAGCCCAGGAAAAACTTGAATTATGGAGGTCTACATTGGAGTCTAAAGGCCTTCGTTTAAGTAGAACTAAAACTGAATACATGGAATGTAATTTTAGTAGTAATAGCTCTAGTGACAGAAGTGACTTTGGGAGATCAAATTACTAAAAATTGTGAACGAATTAGATATCTTGGGTCCGTTATTCAAAGCGATGGTGATATAGATGGGGATGTTAATAGTAGAATTCAAGTTGGTTGGTTGAAGTGGAGGAATGCTTGGGCATTTTGTGTGATAGAAAAGTACCGCTAAGACTGAAAGGAAAATTTTATAAGATGGTGGTGAGACCTGCAATGCTCTATGGCGCTGAATGTTGGCCTTTAAAAGGCATAGAAATATGTTAAGTATTGCCGAGATGAGAATGATTAGGTGGATGAGTGGATTTACACTTAGAGACAAAATGCGGAATGAATATATTCTGGTGTAACTCCTGTGACAGACAAAATTAGATAAAGTCGTCTTAGATGGTTTGGTCACATTAAACGTCGACCATCAGATGATCTGATTAGAAGAGTAGATGTTTTAGATTCGACTTGTGTTAAGAAAAGCAGAGGTAGACCTAGGAAGACTTGGGCTTATAGCATAAAAAATGATCTTAATTTACTAGAACTAAATGAAAATATGACACTAAATAGAATGCAATGGTGAAAAAGGATTCATGTAGCTGACCCCACGTAGTGGGATTAAGACTTTGTTGTTGTTGTTGTTGTTGTCGTTGGCGTTGGCTTTAAATGCACCTCTACCATTGGATGCCTATTAGTGGCATTTTAGTTCAGTTGATCTAATGTTAACCTATTTAAAACTTAACCAAACACCGGTTGCAAATCACAAACATCAAAACTACACTCAAGCTAAACAGGCATAAATTTCAGTGCCTTATCACCCAGAATATGGTATACGGCAGGAAAAAAATAATGTTAGCATTACAAATCAGTAAGTGGGTATGAAACAAAATTAGTATTCATTTACAAATGCGGTTTAGCACATTAAGAACATGCTGTCTGGAAGTGCATGTTTCACCATTGCAAGTTTACATTTGCCGCATCTATGTAAAACAAATTGATATCAGCAAATGAAAAAAAGCAATAAAAAATAATTAAATTTCCTTAATAATGTTGAAACTGCTAAATTATTGAGGTCAACTTTAGAGTCTAAAGGCTTTCGTTGAGTATATCAAAAATTGAATATCTATAATGTAATTTTAATAGTAATAGATCTAGTGGTGGGATTGTAACTATGGGTGATCAAGTCAATAAAAGAAGTGAACGATTTAGATATCTCGAATTTATTATACAAAATGATGGTGATATAGATGGGGATGTTATCAGTAGAATTCAAGTTGAATGGTTGAAGTGGAGGAATGCATGAAATTAAGTAGTAATAGCCCTATTGTGTGATAGAAAAGTTTCCCTTAAGCTTAAAGAAAAATTTATATGATGGTGGTGAACCTTGCAATCTCTATGGCAAAAAATGTTGGCTTGTAAAAGAGAAGCATGAAATTAAGTTAAGTGTTGCTGAGATGAGAATGCTCAAGTGGACTAGTGACTTTAAACTTAGAGATTGCTTGGTCACATTAAACGTCGACCATCTTATGGCCCAATTAGGGGAGTATATCTTTTAGATTTGACTTGTGTTAATAAAGATAGAGGTAGACCTAAAAATACATGGGCATGTATAAAAAAAGATGTTAATTTATTAGAATTAAATGAAAATATGACACACAATAGAACACAATGGAGAAAAAGGATTTATGTAATGAAACCCACATAGTGGGATAAAGGCTTCTTCTTCTTCTTCTTGTTCTGATAATATTAAAACTGATAATGCCAGCAAATGCAAGGACATGTAAGTTATGCAATTAAAAAATTATAAAAAGGAAGACAAATAAATGCTACAACTCTACACAACATAAATCATCATTTCTAGGCTACCAAATGCATGTAAAAGCTACAAAAAAGAGCTTTTCAAGAATGGTTTAACAGGAAAAGAGAATTAAAAAACAAATATGCAAGGAAAATAATTTTTAAGCTCACTATGTAAGTTGAAGAAGAAGATCTGCTATCACTGTAGAAAATCCATTTGTCTGAAGAGTCATCAAGAAGACACGAGCATCTGTTTTGCCATGTACAATCTGCAGAGGGTCCAACATCCCTCTCGCGAATCAAATAAAACTTATTAACAACCTACAAAAGAAATAATCTATTAGTTGAAGCTACAAAGATTGCAATCTAGATCTAATAAGTGGTGAAAACGAGACAAACATCTCTTAAACTAAAACAAAAGTAAAAGCAAAGAAAAAAGATAGAATAAAAGTGAACCCTAAATAAAGAAATTTTCACACCGTCTTCATCAGTATTTAGTCAAAAGTGTTATGGATATTGCATCTGCAACCAGTTTGCAAGCCTGCTAGCCTCCATTACCTAAAACAATCGTCAGTTCCAAATGAATAGCGCTATGTCACCATATTATGGCCATTCGACCATGAACTTTATGTCTAAAAATCACATAACCAAGGGAAATAAATGAAGGAAAAAAATCTTAAAAGAAATCAAATGCCTCCATCTATAACCAGTACATCTTAGCCAAAGAGAACTTTTATATGTTGGACCTAAGAAAAAACCCTATGTGCGACGGTGCATGCTACGGTACTAGGCTTGTAATGGAGCAGGAAATTTTCACTTGCCTTTTACTTTTTGGATATAGCTGAGTCTCTCCATAAAAAGCTGGAAACATTATCTATAGAAGAGAATCAAGTCAACTAGGAGTATCCTTTTGCGAAAGTTTGTAACACAGTCAGTTAGAAGTAGACTCCTTTTAGAGATCATATAAAAGGAGGGGGCAAAACCTTGTTTTATTTTGAATTAGCCATATACATGGGGCACTCTACTTGTATAAAGTAAATTTGAATCCTCTCATAACATATAGTCAATGTACATTGCCATGAATTCTAAGTTCTAAAAGGAGAAATACAAAACCAAGGCAATTTGCCTTATTGAGGGAAGGGAAAAACCTCAATGTAAATCAAAGTATAAGCCTCAAACAATAAATGAAAAAAACACAAGAAAAGACATTCATGCATAGGCAATGAACCATTAACAAATAGTCAAAATGAAAATTAAAAAACCTCAACCCTAAAACAAAACAAAAACAAACCAATTAAATAAAAGGAAAAAAAAAAGGCAGCTAAGAAGCAATAAAAAGCGGATAAAAAGAAAATGAAAAAAAAATATTAAAAATAAAACTAAAAAAATCAAATTAAAAAAAATCAGTTGAAAATAAAATTAAGAAAAAAGTTAAAAGAAAAAACAGAGTAAAATAAAACAATTGAAAGAAAAAAAGAGAAAAAAATATTTAAAATATTAAAACAATCAAAAATTAAAAAATAAAACATAAAAACCTCCATCAATCTAAACACTAATCCTAAAACTTACACCCACCTATTCGTAACTTACAAGTATATGCTTTTTAAAGTAAATACTAAGTTGAACCATCCATCTCATAAATCTCAAGGTACAAGCCTCATAGACTAGAAAATTACAATCCTTGAGGTGCTTAATGAGTGTCCCCGTCGAGAGCCATTACTAAATGTGAGTGCCTCCTATGCCTTTTAAAAGGGACAAAACATGATCCAAAATTTGAGAAGACCAAAGCACCATCCTGAACAACCTCAGGACTGAAATAACAGATCCAGTCAAAGTCAATGATGTTAGCCAAATATAGCGTTGTATGAAGTCAATTCAAATTAACTTTACTACTTTCAACATTGCCAAAACATCATCCCCTTGAAACAATTAAATTGAGTTGAAGCAAGTAGGATGTCAAAATTATCAAGAATAGGGAAGATGTGATCAATTCAATCAAGGGCAAAATGATGGATGGCAAACCATGAATATAAATTGCCATTAAAAATTTACAAATGTTGCCCTTTCACATAACAAACTTCACCAACTCGTCCAAATCATCAAAATAATCCAAGGACGACCCTCTCAATCAATTTAACATATCATGATGAGAAGTCGGAGTCAATATGGTTCAGGTGCAATAGAAACTGCCCAAACATCATTCATTCTCAAAACGAACTACACCGGTGCGTCTAGTGTCAAAATTATCCAACAAAATACTCCACATATCACCAAAAAATCAGACAAAGAAAATGAAAGGCACAGGCATGATGTCACGGAAATTAAGGCCAAATTGATTAAAATATGATTGAAACTGAAATGATGTAAGTTTGAAAATGCTCCATGTTAACACATCCGAAACAATGAAATTGTCGATAAAGATTTCTACACTGTTCAGCTCTCTGCATGAAAGCAAAACAATTTAATTGTGCACAAGATAGACAACATATATTTTGAGATGCATCATAAAAAGGGGGCTAAATTAAACTAAAAATACAATTAAATTGAATTATTGTTATATAACTATATATGCATAACTAAAATTAAAATCATTGTTAATAGTTTAAACTAAATTATAACATTTTTTTTAGAAAAAGCCAAAAAATCATAAAATACAACCCACACAAAACTCATATAAAACAAAGATACATAAATATAAAAACCCAAAAAATCACAAAAGGGCACAAAAGTGTCAGGGATGTCCCACTTTAGTCCTCCTGCCTCTAGTTCTTGGAAGTGAGTCGGCTAACACATTGCCCGAAGTAACTAAAGTATCACCCATCAGATTCCTGAGCTCAAGTAGATCTTCATTCTTCTTCTTCCTCCTAGATGTGTAGACCTGTCATTCCTCATCCAATGATTGACTTATCTGATCAGTACATTCCAAAAGTGGTCGGACAGGTGTAGGTCGTTGCACATCTTGATTCTCATGAGTTTGAGTAATATTAACATATTTCCGGACCTGATCAAGCGGTTGTGAAGCATTAGAAGTATTTCAATTTGTATTATCAACGATAGGTTCTAGGATAGGCGGAGTCTGAAGAAACTCCCTCTCCCCCACGATAGGAGGTTCCAAAGATGTGGGAGCTACAACTAGGGATTGAATAGTTGCCTATAGGGATAGTGACGTCGTATGAGATATCCTTCTGATGATCAGAAGTGTCAAAAACTAGAAGATGATCAGAATGAGATAGAATCACAGCCTCTAGCAGAGCAGTTTGCTTTTTGGTCTAAGTTGGGTGTGTAGATGGTAACATTGAGAACTAGAGTGTCCGAACATACGACAGTTCGAACAATAGAATGTAAAATGTTCAATCTCTACCTTCTGGCAAAATCCATGGTGTTGTGTGCCCAACCACATTCCCTCAGAAGCGGGTGAAGTGATGTCTCTTTCAACAAGTACTCTGGCTTCAAAAGGATGAGACAGATTAAAAGTAGGAATGTCCATCTTGAGTGGCTTCTCATAAGCTAAGTCAATAGAATACAATACTTTCTGATAAAAATAATGAGATTTCAGACCAGAGAGACGAATCCAAACCGGAATGATTGGCGGTTCCGTTTGTGAGTCAAAATCCACATACCATTTCAGAATCTTCATTACTCTGTTATCATTTCATATTATCATTCTAGCAAATAAGCGCATGTAATCGTCTTCATTACTAATTTGAATAAGAATGTGTCTCTCATCTAATAATCCAATTTTTCACAATTTTCATCTAATAGTCCAATTTTTCACTTTCCAACGAGGTGCATAAGTTCAAATTCTTTGTGAATGAGCTCCATTTCGAGATGACCATAGAAATTTCCCAACCAAATTCAAACGACAGGAGGAAGCAAGTTGAATACCTTCAGTTTCTTTCAAAAAATGACAGACTTCTCATTCTTCCTACCGGGTTTCTTGATGTCTTCCGCCCACTCAAACGACGAAGGGAAAGATGATCATTTTGATGTGCCTGAGGCGTAGACACCGACAAGGGCAGTTGCATACGATTTGTCCGAAACCATCCTCAAAGATAGGTGTGACGTTAAGGGTTCAGAGAAAAAAACAGACGAGGGAAAAACTGGTGTCGAAATAGACGCTGTGAGACGGGACGAGCACAGAGAACGCAGAAATCACGAGACGGGCCATACAGGAGCCGCAGAGCCTGGAAATCCCGAGACAGGAAAGCTCGCGAGACCGGAAGACGGAAGACGAGCCTCGTCTCAGAGCGAGGAAGAAGCGAGGGAGAATAACGGAATCAAGCGCGAAGATGCGAGAGGAAACAACGATCGTAACTGTTGCTAGGGTTCGCCATCCGGCGAAACCCTAGCAGAGCCGAGCGAGGACGACGACACCATTGAACTAAATTAATATATATATATATATATATGTATATATATGCAAACTCAAACACAACTGCTCTGCCGTCGTCGTCTATTCCTGTAGCCGTAGCCGATCTTGCGTCTGTTCCGAGCCCGACAACGCCAACAGTTTCCTCGCTTCCTTGCGGCCCGTCAGACCATTTCTTTCCTGACTCTTGTGAGGGAGATGGCCTCGACGCTCCATTCCTATGCAAATGTCCTTGCCGGCGACTTGTCAATTCCTGCTTGTGCCCCTCCTCCAGGTTCAAAGTCTGCTTTTGTTATCGGTAAGTCCTGCAATGTTCCACAATCGTACCACGAGGCTCTTAAAGGTGGCAGCGAACACACTTTTATTAAAAAACTTGGAAAAAAAAATGGGAAGCCTGCACTTATTCTCACTGAGGTTGAAACTGGTAATCTAACGTCCTCTTGGCGTTTTGCTTTAGTTGGGAAATTCCTTTATGGTCACCAAAAACTGGAGATCATTAGAAAAGAATTTGATATTATGAAACTATTGGGTAGTTGGAATATTGGTCTACCAGACGGTCGACATATACTTACTCAGCTATCTCACGATGTCGATTACACTCGCATTCTCTCAAAAAGTTATCAAGATCGACAATCATTTTATGAAAATTCTGAAGTGGATTGTTGATTTTGATCCAAAAGCTAAATCCCCTATCATTCCAGTTTGGATAAAGTTTCTTGGGTTAAAATTACATCTGCTCAACATGAAAATCCTCTACTCTTTAGCAATTGCTTACGGTAAGTCTCTCAAGGTGGATAGTCCTACTCTTTCTATCACCAGACCCTCGGTGGCTTGTGTGTTAGTTGAGAGAGATATCACTCAACCAACTCTGGATGAGATATGGATTGACACTATTCACACCGGGTATTGGCAAAAGGTTAAAATAGAACCACATCCTTTTTATTGCTCTCAT